GGCTTCGAGATCCGCTGATAAAGCAGTCGATAAGAGCTACGGAGGCTAAAACGCTGCACACGTGTGTCAAGGTCTAGTCCAAGGGTTGTTGTACCCAACGGAGGTGGCATTGGGGCTGCTTGTGGTCTAATGGAGGTGGCACTGGGGCTGCCTGTGGTCGAGCTGAGGTTTTTTTCCAGCTGACCTGGACAAGAAGGAGCTGCCGTCCGGCCCGTTCTCGCCTTTCCTTTCTAAATATAGCGGAAGAATGGCATCTGGCTGTACCCAGGTGCCGCTGGGTTTCTGCCACACGAGGAGCCGGGCAGTTGGCCGTAGCCCTGCTGTGGGTTTGTCCTCTTCCAGCTCCCTGGGGGTGCTTGTGGTGGAGCCCCAGAGCCACATCCAGCAGCCATTTTTTTTACTCCCAGCTGGCTGGTGGTCCCTGGTTGTAGCCCTGGCTCCAGCAGTGGGATGATTTTTTTGGAGTATTTCCTATCCCCTGTGCTGCAGTCAGTGGTTTCCCGAGCAGTTTTTAACAGATGCATCAGCGGATGCCCCCGCAGACGGCCCAAGGACGGGGACACTGGGGCAGGTGACCCTGATGCTGGTCTCTCCTCCCCAGGATAATCACAAACTGTACAAGCAGAAACTCGAGGAGCTAACCAAGCTCCAGGACGGGATCTCCAGCTCCATCGCACGGCAGAAGAAGCGGCTGAAGGAGCTCTCGCTGTCCCTTAAGAAGTGAGTTGGAGTCCTGGGATGGCGCGGGGTCTGAGGGCAGACTGGCGAGGACGGGGCTGTGGAGCTCCTCTCGCGGCTCTGTCTCCAGACCAGCCCTTAACTGCAGCCTCCCTAGCAGCAAAGCGCTGCGGAGGTCTGGCCTTTCCCAGGCAGATCTTCCCTTTCCTCGGCCCCGATTTGTGCCTTGTTTGCAGTTCAGAGCTTGCAGGGGCTTTGCAGGTAACTCAGATTGATTCTGTCCTGCACAAAGCTCTCCCCATCCTTCTCCGAGGTGAGAAGACCTGTCTGGCCTCACCTCGCTCTCATTCCTGTTCCCCTTCCTCGAGAACCATCCCAGCCTGGCAGAGTAGCTCGCCCTGCGAATGGAGTCGTGGACTTGCCTCCAGTCCATCTTCCCTGTCCTTGGGGTGTCCTTGCCCGAGACAGCCACGTATCGAGTGCCAGCACGTGCGGGTTGGGTTACAGAGGCTGTCCTGATGCCAGCGCCTGTGTTTCCTCCCCAGATGCAAAACCCACGTGAGCCCCGAACAGGAGGAGTCCATCCGAGAGACCCAGAGCCTAATAAAAGAGAGGCAGAATGTTTTCTTTGAGATGGAGGCCTATCTGCCAAAGAAGAACGGGTAAGCAGTTCCTCCTCTCTGGGCGAAACACCCAAGTCCTCCCTCCGTGTCCCTTTGCAGGCACAAACCTGCTGTCACCCTGCTGCTGGCTCCGCTGGGGCGCGCCGCGGGACGCCTGGGCAGGAGCCAGGCTGAGCCTCATCCCCTTCGCTCCCCTGCCCGCTCGTGGGCTTCACTCGCCCTTGAGTAGGGGGCCGGGGCGGGAGGAGCCCTGAGGTGCTGGTGGGAGGTGGGCCGTGTGCTGGGGACACGGGCTGTGTGCTGGGGACGTGGCTGTGTCCTCTCCTGCCCTTGGGAGGAGACACCAGAGCGTTTGTGCCAGCTGTGCTGCCTGGCAGCTCCGAGGGGAGAAGAGCTGGGGGTGCTCGTTCCCAGCCCCAGCGGGGACACGGAGAGGATGGCTCTGCCACACCAGGGCAGGCGCCCGTGTCCTCTTTAATGCCTCTGTTCTCTCCCCAGGTTGTACCTGAGTCTGGTGCTTGGGAACGTGAACGTGACGTTGCTCAGCAAGCAGGCCAAGTACGGGTCTCTGGGTGCTGCTGCCCCGGGCTTTGCCCGGCTTGGGGGCCCCTTGTCACTGGGAAACAGCAGCTCCTCCCGGGCTGGACACGTGCAGACACGTGGCTGGCTTGACTTTCCTGCTGCAGATTCCCTTCCCTGGCTGATCCCCGCTTCCTCTCCCAGAATCAGCCAAATCCTCGACTCTTCCTTACTTTCCTGCTGGGACAGCCTGTTAGCTCTGACGAGCTGAGCGGGATCCTCCACCAAAGCCACATCTGCATTTCCCCTGCATTAGGCATTTCCAGGAGAGACAGATTTGTGCAGCTACTGGAGACCCCTGTGCTCTTCTCTTGGGGAACATCGACGGCTGGGTTTGACCTATGAGAGCCCCTCCTTGGTAACGCCAGGGGTGTGCAGCCAGGAGCCTGTGTGCCCCCTCAGTTCCCCAGGGCTCCCTTTGACAAGCTGAACATGTCCCAGCCCGCCCAGCTTCCCAGAGCCCCCCACGCCACCCACTCGGTTGGCACAGCTTGGGTTCTCACCTGTGTGGAAGCAGCCTGCTGTGCTCTCCTCTCAGAAATACCCAGGGGAGGAATTTTTCCCTGAGCATGTCCCAGAGGTTCCCAACAAAACATCAGTTTTGTCCATTCCCAACAAAACATCGTTTTTGTCCAGCCAGGTGGGACGGGAGGAGACAGGCTTCCCAGCTCCAAGCCTGCCCTTGTGCTTCCCTGCAGGTTCGCTTATAAAGACGAGTATGAGAAGTTCAAGCTCTACCTCACCATCATCTTACTCATCGTCTCCTTTTCTTGTCGGTTCCTCCTCAACTCCAGGTGAGCCTGGCTGGGATGCCCAGCAGAGATTTCCCAGGGCCCCTGTGTCCTCCTCGCCCGTCCTGAAAGGTCTAGAGCTGAACATGAGCTCTTGGCAAAGGATCTGGCCACTGCCCTGGAGATGGGGTGGCTTTTGGGGCTGCTGTGGTCTCACCGCGGCCATGGCAGCTGGTGGAGATGCAGAGGAGGGTGGCCATCCTGTAGCCGTGGCTGTCTCGGTGCCTGTGCCCCCCAACACACTTTACACCCTGCTTTGTTTCCCACCAGGGTCACAGACGCCGTCTTTAACTTCCTCCTGGTGTGGTACTACTGCACCCTCACCATCCGGGAGAGCATCCTCATCAACAACGGATCCAAGTGAGTGAGTCCCCTGGGCTCGGGGAGGGGGGCGTGCAGCGAGCTGGAGCTGCTCCTTCTCTGCGGGGCCGGGCAGTTGGGATGCGCCACATAGCTCTGCGCTTCCCATGGAGCAGCTCCCTCCTACTCAGGGTGTGTAGCAAACCCCGGTTACAAGCTGTAGGAGCGGGGCAGGAGGAACACTCCCTGTGCGGAGGCAGTGCAGGAAGGTGGAGCAGCGCTTGGAAGGGCCCTGGCTGCCACCGGGACCAGAGGCGCTGGGTCCTGCGCCACGCGGGGCAGTTTCGTAACCAGCCCTGCTCCTCGCCTTGCCCTGGCAGCCGGAGCTGGCGCCGGGCTGGCTCTGCTCTCCCGCTGGGTGTTTGGGTCTTGAGTCATGTTCGAGACCTGACCCCCCTTCTCTGTGTGTCTGCCTTCCAGAATCAAAGGCTGGTGGGTTTTCCATCACTACGTCTCCACCTTCCTCTCGGGGGTCATGTTGACGTGGTAAGTCTGTGTCCCCTCGGCTCCTTGCTGCAGAGAACCCGGCGTGCTTGGGCTGTGGTCGGCTCTGACAAAGGGGCCTTCA